ATGTCTACTACAATTTAGAGCAATCCCAGAAAGGAAATATGGAAATAGAGCAAAATTATTCAGAGTCCTTGGTTCATATAAAACAGCTCAAACTCCAGGTAGAAAACTTGAAAGAAGAAGTCAAAAGGAAGGGACTACGACATTCAGAAGCTTTGAATAAAATCAATGAGCTTGAAACCGAGGTTATGACCTTTCAGAAAGAACTGGAAAAGCAGGCACGAGGTTTTGAAGATGAACTTGAATTAGTAACTCAAGCCAAAGTTGAGCAGGAGCAAAGGGCCATACAAGCTGAGGAGGAATTAAGGAAGACAAGATGGAAGAATGCTGCATCCACAGAGCGCCTTCAGGAGGAATTCAGACAGCTTTCAGTTGAAATGGCATTTAGGATTGATGAGAATGAGCAACTTGCTAATAATGCAGTAGCAGAAGCTAATGATTTGAGCCAGCAAAACAAAGTTCTAGAAGAATTGCTCCGGAAAGCTGAGGAAGAACTTCAACTATCAAAAGATCAATATGAAAGAAAATTTCACGAGTTTCTAAACAAAAATTCTCTAGGAGCAAAAGATGCGTGTACTGGTGAATCAGAAATGCTACAGAAATTGGTAGAGGAAAAGGAAGATCTAGAGAGTGAACTCGCTTCAGTGAGAAAGGAAGCAGAAGAGCTGTCTAAGGAATCAATTTCCATCCAGTCTCAAATAGTTCAAAAGAAGAAAATAGATGAGAACTTGCATTTAGAATTGGAAAAGCTAAAACTTCAATACAATGAAATGGAACATCGTTCTATTCAACTAGAACTAGAGAATGAAAGAATGAAGAAAGAGATGTCCAAATTACAGGGTGCCTTACATAAGAAAGAACGGGTAATTACTAGCACAAATAAAGATGTTTCTCATTTACTAGGTGGCTTACATAAGGTGCACAGAATTTGCATCTAAAAGAATTGGTAGAAAGATAAAACTATTTTAAAACCTGAGGGCTGACTTCAAAACACTTCAAATTTGCATTTGTTACTCTGTTACTAATATTAGATTTTGACAAACTAAATCAAACTGTTTAGGATAGACTTAATTCTTGAAATTAGAATTTTCTGAAAATAAGAAAGAGACCTTTTTTTCACAATGGAATTGAAAGTGTATCTCCTTAGATTGACAATGGAATGAAGAATATCTGTTCACAATTCTACAAGATTCAACCTCATCAAAAACTCAATTGTTCATATATTAAATCAAAGGGTACATTACATTTATGCACCTCAGCCTGTGCACTCAATCTGGTGCATTATTAATTCATTCATGCTTTTACCAAATCAGCCACAAAAGGATAATTACTACATTTATCAATTGATTTACACACAAAATTGCCCATCCACCAAATCAGCCACAAAAATGAAACAAATCGAGCTGTACCATGCTTCATTCATTCCTGCTTCTTCATCATTTTCATTCCCGCTTCTTCATCATTTTCATTACTACTTATTCACAGCAAAACCAGGACTCCAATCTCCCTTCATCATTTTCATTACCACTTATTCACAGCAATAACAAGGACTGCAATATCCCTTCACCATTTTGACCTTAGAAAATTCATCTCATTTTCATTACTACTTATTCATAGCAATAACAAGGACTGCAATGTCCCTTCACCATTTCGAGGATCAGAAACTTCAGTCCACGAAACGGAATTTTTCTCTGGCGTCCATGAAACGGAATTTTTCTCTGGCATTTCATCAAACACTTTTTTTGCTAACTCCAAATCACAAAACCCCCTTTGCAAATAAATCAATCAACGCACACCCAACACAAACATCAGCTTCAAAATACCGTTTGTCGTCGATGTCGTTGTCCTTCCAGGAGCCCAACCGTCGAGAGCCAACCGTTTGTTAATTTATAGGAAATTGACTGAATACTGGAAAAGTGAGTATAATGAAAATCAGCAAGAAAAAGTACAGCGACGATGAATCTTGCAATCTTGAACCTTCAAATATCTGCCCAACCTGAAAAATAATGTAGAGAAAAAATCTAACTTTGATAAATTATGAAGAGGGGGAAAAGGAGGCGGAGGCGGAGGGGAACTGCGATGGGAGTAGGGTAATACGGTGGCAAATGGGAGGCTGATCGGTTCCAATTGGGAATTACGGGTTAGTTCCAGAGACGGAGAAGCGTTATTTTAGAAGGAGAAGTCGTGGGTTTAATGCCAGGTGGTAAATTTAACGGACGTGTCTTGCCACGTCATAACTCCACGTGTAATTTTCTGTTAAGTTGGAGAGACGGGAGTCGATTGAATGACGGATGGGTAACTATAAGTAAAGATGAGTGACCGTTCAGTAACCCGTTTATTTTGAGTTAGCAAATGGTAACAAGTTTAAAGTTGGGTCACTGTTGATTAAATTAACTCATATTTCGATCGAATAGATTTGATTCGGAATTAGGGGTGAAATCCTCTTTCCATCTCATTACATTGACCTGGATAAAAAATATAATTTATTCGTAACTATTATTATCATTGTTTTAATTAAGTTTAGCCAAACATGACAAAAAGATACATTGACAAAAAAGTCCTAATTTTGGGCCCTTTTGGACTGACAATTTTTGCCCTAAATTTTTGGGGCCTGAATTGCCGTACATAATTTCCCCCAAGCTCTATTTCTTTTCTGCGCAGACAGATTCTTCACTGAAGCAAGTAAAATAAAGAATAAAAATTCCAGCTTATAATTTTGTTACTGTTGCCTCTCTCTCTATCACTACGTTTTCTCCGAGTTTCTCCTTCTTCGATCTCTGTCGATCGACGAATGCAGGTAAATTATTGATTCTTTTTGAATTTCGTATAGTTTAATTATCATAATTGTTGATGAATTGGGTTGAATTTTGGAAAGGGGAAATTTTGATAAAGTCAAGAATGTTTTGCCTCGGATTAAAGTTGGGTTCGATTATTTGGAACTAAACCCTTTCGTCTTAATGTTGGTGAAAGCTTCGAATTGCTTTATGCTTCCTGTGATTTTTACTCGTTCTTAATTTACTAGTCGTTTTTTACTGTTTAACTGCTTATTTGAAAAAGTAGAATTTCCTGAGCGTGACCGAATATAGAAAATTTTGATGGCTAGTGAATTTTTAATAATGAACTTGTAGTTTACTACTGGTTTTTGAAATTCTTATGGGAGGCCTTAGACTTGTTAAAAGTAATGGTTTTAAAATTTTATCCCAAATTATGTTGTTGATCATATATATTACATTTTGAGATTTTTAACTTTATAAAATCTGAGATTTTTTAGTCACAAAACTGTCAGCCTGAGTGGAGTTTTCAGTAACGTTCTTTATTAGCACGTGAAAAGTTAATTGATAAAAAGTAGTAATTTGATGGGTTGTAATTAGTTTCTGAAACTGGAAGCTCCAAGTTTTGGTGATACCTGCTCTTGGAGTCTTCTTCTTATTATGTTTTGTGCCTTTGTAGCCAATGTAGTGGCTGATTTATTTCAAAGACGTTATTGAGGAGAGAGCATTCCGTAGATATGAGATTTTGATGCTGACTTTTAATGATGACTGGAAATGCAAATGCTAGATTTGAAATGACTTTGGATAGCCCCGACTCCAGTTTTGCTGGGGGCTATCAGAGTGGACCTAGAGGGAATTATTCTGGTTCAAGTTTGAATAGGTCTGGAAGCTTTAGAGAGATTGCAGAGAGTAGAATGTTTGGTTCTGGGAAGGCTACTTCTAGGGGGAGTGCTATGTCAGCTGGGGACAATCCTGCATTGTCTCAAAGTCTGATGTTGGAGCCAATCGTAATGGGTGATCATAAGTATCCACGGTCAGTTGAGTTAAGGAGAATTCTGGGCTTTTCTGTAGGAAGCAGCTTAGAGAACAATTCTTTTGGTGCCGACCATCTGAAGACTTCACCACCAGTAGTTATGGAGGAATTAAAACGATTTAGAGCTAGTGTTTTGCTGACACTCGTGTCAAAGCTAGATAAATTTTTTTCTTCTGATTCACCATTCTTCTTCTTGAGAAATCCTGATACTGGACTCCTTTAGTAAATGCTGTTGCAATCCTGTCCTTGCCCATCGAATTGTTTCCTTATCATAGTTAAGACCCTACTACTAGCAGCTTGATGTTCAAAATTAAGTTATTTAGTATGCCATAGTCATCTAACTGGAAATTATTTCAAGCTATCTTTGTTGACATTTGTGTCAGAGTCATCAAATTGGTTCCTGTAAATGGTACATTGAAATGTATTGTCATTCAGTATTTCTTGGCATTTAATTATTCTCTTTCTGCTTCTATTCTAGATATGTTACCTTCTTCTTTTTGTCCAGTGGTAGAGCCAAAAAGCTGGACGAGCATTTAAATAAATTGAACAAGTATCTTGACTCCATGACCCCTAAGAAGCAGCATCGGAATGTGCTATTGACTAATGATCGATCAGCTAGTTCAAACTCAAAGATGGGAACGCAGATGATTCGTAGCCCTGCGGAACTTGTAGCTCATAAATTCGAGGATGGACCTAAGAATATTGTTCTGAATAAGCGTTTAAGGACATCAATTGCCGAAACTCGGGTTAGTGATACTTGTGGTTCAACTTTTTAATTTATCTAGCATTTTCTGTTCTTAAATTTTCATTTCTTGTGCAATAAATAGAAAAGATCTGTACACAATTTTCAATATGACAACTTTTCTTCGGTTCTCTTTGTGACATTTATATGTTTTATTCTGTGCATCATGGTTAACAATGGGCAGGGTGTAGTGTATTGAATGGTTCCTAACAAATGACCAAATCAGCACTTCACTAAAATATATCCACTATTATGTTCAATTTGGAAAGAAGCGTAATTATGGAAATATAGTAAATTATTGAAATCTTAACAAACTTTTTTATGGGCATTACAATAAAAATCCCTACCCATGTTTTTAATAGCCGGTACCAACTCTGGATGAAGGAGGAGTGTGGTATATGTTGACAATCAACATAAAACTTTGTCACATCTTATGACATGAATCCTTACATAAGTGGATATAGAATGAACTAAACGGAGTGGGAAAAAATTAAAGTAGCCAACCCCGTAACAATTGGGAGTGATGCTTATTTGTCTATTTGTTGTATTAATTAAGAACTCACAGACTTTATTCTGGCTATTCACCACTTATTCTTTTGTTCTTGAGAATAATGTTTTCCCTTCTGCATTCATTTATCAAAAATGTGATTAGATCTTATTTCCTCTTTTAGGCAGAATTCCGGGATAATGGATTACTTCGGCAGCCTTTGGCAATGCCAAAAGAACGAGGCCTAATTAAAAATAGTAGTGCAGATGCAAAATTAACTGCTGCTGGAGAAAGTTGGGACAGGAAAATGCGAAGGAAACGCTCGGTAGGTGCAGTCTTTTCGAGACCTATTGACTCTGATGTGGATCTGAAACGAACTATGCATCATAAACTTATCAGTGAACCTGGTGGTGGTAACAAGTTGGACCCTATATCGTCTCCTGCTGGTTCTAGTGCTCATGCAACACCAAAAACTGAACAAGAAAAATCTTTCCTTTCCAGGAATCTTCATCCTGTACAGAATAAGGAGCGAGGTTTAGGAAAAGGAAACATACAGTAAGCATCAAATCTTCTGTCTATGATTGTAGTAGTCAGTGACTCACTTGTTCTGTGGCTGACATACCTTTATTGCATGCTGTATATTGGCTTTTGATGTTTAGCAACCTTTTTTTTTCCCTTAAAACTCAATTTTTTTGGTTATGATGTTTCTTTTTTATCCTTATTTTAGGTTGAATAACGGTGAGGAAAATCTTGCCGTCTGTCCTAGTCCAGTAGTAAAAGGGAAGGCCTCAAGGGCACCTCGAAATGGCTCTACACGTGGACCTAATTCAGCTTCTAATGTTCCCCGAATATCTGGAGCTTTGGAAAGCTGGGAACAACCTCAAGGTGTAAACATAAATCCTTCAATTGGAAGCTATAACAATCGGAAGCGTGGTATACCGGCAGGGTCATCCCCTTTGCCCATCACTCATTGGGTTGTGCAGAGGCCACAGAAGAATACCCGTACAAGGAGGACAAATCTTGTGCCGATATCAAACCATGATGAAGCACAGATGCAATCTAAAGAATGTTCCCCTTCAGATCTTGGTGCTAGATTAAACTCTGGTGTAACCAATGTTTCCCTTCTCTCTAGAAGCGCTGCAACTGGAACTCATAATTTCAAAGTTAAAACTGAAAAATTTTCTTCCCCTGCTAGATTATATGAAAGTGAAGAATCTGTGGCAGGTGAGCACAGACTAAAGGAGAGAGGTGTAGGGAGTGTATACGTGGAAGAAGAAGATGAAAATGGTGCTCAAAACATTGTGTCTTCTGCAATTCTTACAAAGAAGAACAAATTTGTTGTTAAAGAAAAGAAAGGTGATGGTGTACAAAGACAAGGCCAGAGTGGAGGTGTCTTGCCATTTTCTAGGCCTAGTATTTCACCTAGGAGAGAGAAGTTAGATAAGGCAGTCGCGACCAAGCCACTGCAAAGTGCTAGGTCCGGTTCTGACAAGAATGGAAGGTATGAGATCATTTTTCTAGCAGATTAAAATAATATGTACCTATATTCTGGCTTTCTCACACTCATGATGTAATTCTTGAACTCTCTCAGTAAGTCAGGCCGTCTTCTGAAGAAGCTATCTGATCGTAAAGGTTTCTCTTGTCTTGTCCATGTGGCAAATGGAGCTTCCCCTGATTTTAATGGTAACGACGTAGCTATGGAAATTTATTTACCTGCAACACTTTCCGTTTGTTTCTTTTGCTGCATGCTATAGACACTGATAAGAGATTTTATGAGTCAAAACTTGGCTTATTATTCAGTGATGATATCGTGAAAAGTGAAATCTATCTCTCAGTTGCCTGCACTTGCATTGGTCTTGGAAGGGGCTGATTACTCCTTGCTTTTATATATATATTTCTAATCTCAATTTTGGGATATTTTTTAGTTTGTCCCTATTGTACATGAGATTTTATGCCATGTGTCAACTGTAAGAATATATTCAATCTGATTATATTTTCTTTATCAGTTTTTCTCTTTTAAAACTGTAAAATGAGGTGAAGTCAACCTCAGTAGAATAAAAGCTTAGCTTTTGGGCAAAACTCAAATCTTCACCCGACAAACCAGTTTATCGACTTCTATTATAATCTATTCTGCTTTATCATATTCAGGATTGACTAATGCCACTCTCCTCCCAGCAAAAGAAGCAATCAAAATAAAATTTATAAAAATAGATAAAGTGGGAATTTCTTTTTAAAATATTATAAACAATTTTTTTTCCTACGATTTATATTATAGAAAATTAGTGTGCTTGGGAGTGTGAGTTATAAATTAGTACACTGACCTTATAATTTTCCAGGGGAATCAGAGGATGACCATGAAGAGCTTTTAGAAGCTGCAAATTTTGCTTGCAACTCTACTGGTGTGTTTTGACAACAATTACTTTTTGTCATATTGGTTATGTTCCTTTTCTCATATATTGGAAATAGTTATTATCATTTTTCATTTTGCTCTAGTCCTTGCCTGTTCGAGCCCATACTGGAAGAAAGTTGAGGCTTTGTTTGCTTCTATTAGTCCAGATGAAAGATCATATTTATCACAACAGGTGACTCCTTAATGGGTGGATGAATTATTTTGATCTGTTTTAGTCTTTGGATTGGTAGTTGGATTCATAATATTTTCGTTTGTCTGAATCAGCTAAAATTGGAAGATGAATATTCTGGAAGCTTGAATCAGATATTTGGCCCTGGAAATAATATTCTATGGAAAATGGTTTGTGTTCTCTCCTTCTCCTCAACCTACCCACTATTTTATTTTGTTGTAAATACTTCAGGTCCAATCTCTTCTTGTAGCTCTTGCAGCCACTGGAATTTCGCACACTTGTAGGGAACAAGTTGTTTTGCATCTACATATCATTTATAAAAACCTGCTTTATCTGAAATTGAAAAATCTCTTTTTAGGGTGATCATGGGCATGAAGAAATTCCTGCCTTTAATTCGTTCTCTGGTGAGAGGAATGGACACAAGAGAAATCAAATCAGGCGAAAAGACTCTTCCGAGGAATTTGCCCAGCAACTGCAGGATTCCTCTCTGATTGGAAGCCTAGATACAGAAGGATGTACTCCACTTTATCAAAGGGTTCTATCAGCTTTAATTGTGGAAGATGAAATTGAAGGATGCAAAGAAAATGGATTTGGAAGATCAAGGAGTTCATCGGATGATGTATGCTTCATTATTGATTCTGAAAGTAAAAGTAGGTCTCTACAGAACTTCTCTGAGCCAATTGTTGGCATCCAAACTCAGAAAAATGGCAACCCAAATCAATTTTTCTCTTGCAACGAAAATACTGACAACAACAGAGTCCGCAGTGCTAGAGTACATCCGTGCAACTCTGAACTGCTACATGGTGAGGGTGGATATGAGCATTCACAGGTTGAAGTGTTGGCTAGACTTTCAGGGTGTGATCATGCTTCACGAAGTTCTCAGACAAAAAGTAATGGCATTTCTTCCTCTGATAGCCAATATGATGAGATGTGTCTTGAAGACAAACTTGTACTGGAGCTGCAGAGTGTTGGCCTGTATCTTGAAACCATGGTATGTTTGAATTTTGTAAGAGACTTAAGATATAACTGATTTTTCATTTTTAAGGACGAGGTTTTTTTCATAAATTTGCACTCCTGTATTATTAGTTTTTCCTTGGAATTTTATAAATTATAGATGACTTTTTCATATCTAATCATTGTTTATGGAATCCTTCATTCTATTCATTTTTGTGTCTTTTTCTCATTGGGATGCCTCTTAATACAGCCTTCCTTGGATGATAAAGAAGATGAAGTAATCAACCAGGAAATTGTGCAGCTAGAGAGAGGACTTCATCAAAAGGTCATTCAGCATATATGATTTCCGTTTTATCTGTCTTTTTTCCCATATTATTAAACTATGCACATGAGGCACATTTTCTTCTCATGAGAAAACATTTTTCTAAAGCCTTACTGATTACTGTTCTGCTGTAATATGCACCTGTATGTGTTATTGAGTGTAGGCTGTTTTCTTTTTTATGCTTGAGCCTTTAGATTGGAAAGAAGAAAATGTGCCTGGATAAATTGTACAAGGCTATTCAAGCAGAAAATGATGCAGAAAAACGGTAACATGCTTTCCATTGTGATTTTGTTTATGAGCATTTGAGCTTAATATTTTCACAATAATTGCAAAATATTTGTTCAAATCTCGCGATGATAATTGAGGTTGGTATTACGCAGGAATCCTGAGCAGGTTGCTATGGATAAACTTGTTGAGTTGGCGTACCAAAAACTTTTGGTGAGTAGTTATTGTTTTGCTTCATTCTTCCATTGATCCTTAAGAGCTGTCTAGCTGTACCTTATGTATTTTATCAACCTTGATCACTGTCTTTATGGAAAAAGTAACTTTGAAATGGAAGCTGATTTTATGTGTGATAAAACCGATGATGAAGATAATTTGTAAGAGTGAAATGGAGTAAACGGATATTATTGCTTTGCTTCAGTATAATGATCAAATCAAACCTGCTGGATGTCTAGTACTGGTCTGGTTGGTTACTTGAAATTCCAGTGTAAATCGGACACTTAAAACCAAAATGAGGGATGCTATAACTCGATCAGATCTATATGTGGCCTGGCCTAGATTAATCCGGGGAGGGAGCCATTAATGTGAGATGACAGATAGCAAGTCCCTTGGCAGTCCGTGCTCGTTCCATGTTTGTAAAAGATAAAATCCTGAACAAAACTTTGCTGATTCTGTTTGAATGCACTTGATTAAACCTAATTTTCTTTTTGCCTAGTTGATTTCTCAATTTGTAGTTTTTTGGGTGAGAAGTGTTTGATCAGCAATTAGAGTGGTCATACGCTAAGTGAAATGTCTATTGTGGGAAACGTTTTGGGAAAAAATGTTTTCTTCTTATATAATTCAATAATATATGTGGAAAATTTACATGTTTTTCTTGATCTGTTGATCAATGATGAAGCTCACTGGCTTTCAAATACATAGCAACTGGCATTATATATCTTTTGAGAGAGCTCAAGGGGGACGATTCGTAAGTCCTTTATAATTCAACAGAAAATTTAAGTTTCTTGGTTGGCTGTTAATATCGATAACATGTAAAAAAGGTAAAATCCACTAGACCATAATCTATAATCTGTTAGGGTACCCTGTTATTTCGTTTCTTCACATGATCACATCCTTAGGGTCTATTTGGAAGAGAGCCCTGGAACAGACCAACCTCAAGTCTAGTGATAGTCATAATCAATTAATGTTGTTTGCCATTTTATTGAGTGAACTTTAAGGAACGTGAATTCTATACTTGCGCAGTACGAAATTTTTTGATAGGAAACTGTCAGTTAAACCTACTGCTAAAATTCTTCTCTTATTATTTTCAATTTCAAAGCTATATTCAGAGTCTAACAATAGATTACCTCTCTAAATTTTTGTACAGGCAACTCGGGGACGTGGGATTGCCAAAGTATCAAAACAATCTGCATTGGCATTTGCCAAGAGGACACTTTCCAGATGTCAGAAATTTGAAGATTCAGGAGCAAGTTGCTTTGCTGAGCCTGCACTCCGGGATATTGTTTATGCTGCACCTCCCCGAGCCAGTGAACCGGAGCTGCTCCCTGATGCTAATCTGGAAGTTGTTAATGGTGAGCACTTGCATCTAGTAAATTCCAGTCACCCCAGACGATACATCAAGTTGCCCTCTCCAAGTTTCATCTTTTCAAGAGTGCCTTCGAAGTTATTACTTTTGCATTGGCTTTTCTCTGAGTTTGTCTTCTGTCATGATGTTTCTAGTTTTGCTTGAAACATTTAAAAATGAATCTATTTTGTTTTAATTTATTTACTTGCTCTTAAATCTTCAATGTTGCGGCTTTCAGTCAGCCAGAGGACACAGCAAGTTGTTCTTCCGAAGTTTTTTTTTTTTTTTTTTGGTACAATGCCTTGGAAGTTATAACCTTCTCATTGGCTATTCTGAATTTGTCTTCGGTTGTGATGTTTCTAGTTTTTCTTGAAGAATTTAAAAACCAATTTTGTTTGTTTTAATTTATTTTCTTGTTCTTAAATGCTTTGAAGTATCAATATGATGGTTTTCAGCCTGCTAGGCTATTTAATGAATATGTTGCTGTTAAACAGGCTCCTTACCTGGTTGTACCAATGGGAGTTCGGTAGATTTGTCTGAGGCTTCAGGACATCAATCTGATCACGATTTTGCTAAAAATGGACCAACCAACAGAGGAAAGAAAAAGGAAGTGTTGCTTGATGATGTTGGTGGTGCAGTTTTTAGATCAACATCTACTCTAGGCATTTCAGGTGATGCAAAGGGAAAGAGAAGTGAGAGAGACAGAGATAGAGAAACGTCAATCAGAAATCCAGCTTCCAAAAATGGGCGCTCATCAATGGGCGGCTCTAAGGGTGAACGAAAAATGAAATCAAAGCCCAAGCAGAAGACAGCTCAGCTTTCCGCATCAGGAAATGGATTTGTCAATAAAAGAGATGTTAGATTAATAGCTTCTGATAATGGCCCTCCGGATTCATCGAAGGAGACGAAGAAATCAATGGACTTCCCAAATTTGCCACTGAATGATATAAATTCTATAGAACTAGGAGTAGATTCTGATATTGGTGTAACGCATGATTTCAGTTCTTTGTTCAATTTTGATGAGGACGGGTTACAAGACCATGATTCCATAGGCCTCGAGATACCTATGGATGACCTGTCATCTATTATGTTTGATCATTGATAGCAAGTTGTACAGGTTGTGGAATATTTAACTGTTTCCAGAAGAATGACATTTTTCATTCTTTTTTCTGGTTATTGAGGGGTTGGCATTAGCTTAAGATGTCTTGGCCAAAATGGCAGTTGTAATTATATGATTCTTTTGTACACTCCTCTTCAGAAAATTGTTCAGAAAATCTTTTTTATTTATGTCTTCGAGACAATGTTTCCTTGTGAGAAGTATGAAAAGTTTCAATAGTGCTCTGTTAAATAATCTAGAATTGTTTCAAGCATATGAATCCCACTAGCTTTCTATGTATATTAATGTTTGACGAAGGCATTTTACCAAGAGACGTCTTATTAAGTACCAATTGAAGCATAACATTTCTATTTGGTGGCATTTCAGATTTCCTGGGACGATAGTTAGCAGCAGGATTTCTTTCATTGGTTAACATGTGTACAGTACATCGAAGATGATATAGCGAGATGTGATCATAATGTAAAGGTAATAGTTCCACATCCTAATCTTATATCACTATTGAAGTTGCAAGTTGGGTTCATTTTTCATACCTTTATTGGCCTTTTTTCGGCTTTCCTCCTCTTGCCTGTTTGTTTAGCACTATTGGACCGGACTGAGTAATCTGAACAGAAAGTTATTTACAAGTCGCTTTTGGCGTGTTCGGTAGAGATTAAAATTGAAAAACTAGCTATTATTGTTGACTTTTATTAGACGAGTGGACCTAATAACGACAATATTTTCAATTTTAATTGGATTTTAATCCTTACCAAACAAGCTCTTACTTAGTTTTAAGCTTAGCCAAACATGTCATTTATGAGCTATTGCTTCCCAGATTTAGGATGTAAGTTTTTTATGTGGGGTTGCCTGTTTCGTGGGGTTTTCCTAGTTTATTTTCATGTTCCATTGTTCAAGACTATTGAACATTTGATTTCATGTACAGCAGAGCAGAAATTTCTCATATAAACTTTGGAACTCCTCTGTGAATGAAGGGACTATTCATGTCAAATCTTTTGGGCTTTCCTATTGGATCTTTTGAGATTATTATAGAAGGGAATAAAATGTTACTTATAAGTTAGTTTCCAAGTTTTTCTTAATCTGAAGATTTTTTATTGTGATGTTCTCCTCAATAACAGAAAGAATTGAAAGTAGAAAAGTCACTGGTGGATAAATTATTGTAAAATATTATGTAGTTTGCTAATTTTTTCTTAATCAGGAGGTTGAGATGGTCCCTTACTAGCAGAACGTTAATTGGGGGAAGGTTTTTGACAACAAGACCATGTACCATTTTTCTCCTGTTTGTAAAAACTGAATTGAATTCGCTCCCTAATCTCTCACTTCTTCTTAGCCAAGCTCATTTTACTTACTGAAGTCTGAGTCTTCTATGGCCAACTACATTATTATTAAGCACCTATTCGAGCTTCAGTTTTTGAGAATAATTTTTGTAAAAATTGATTTTTCTAAAGATTGAATGGTTAAAAGAGTACGGAAAAATTTTGAGTTTACGTGCAAAATTATTTTATTGGAAATATGTGTGTTTAAAAATAAGTTTGAGAAAAAACGAATTTTTAGAAATTAATGAGACTCAGATAGTAGTTTACGTGCAAAATTATTTTATGGAAAGAAAGTATGGTTAAAAAATGAGTTCTAAAGCATGGACCCAAAAAGTTTTCGTCGCCTTAACCTTTATTCGCGAGTTAATCGACAAAAAAAGTTAATAATATCATTATAATATTTGCATAGTTATCCTTCTGGAACATTGATTATAAATGATACTCTCCAATGGCGATAATACAATATTAATCTGAAATATCAGTATGAAGTAACTCAGTTATATGACATATGCAGATGGCGATTTCTCTAGCAATCAATTATGTTTTCAATTTCGAACAATTTGATCA